TGTGATAACCATAAGACCCTATCATACATCGCTTTTAAATTATTCACTCCCTCATCTGTTTCAGTGCAGTATACACAATTTATCCAGTTTTTCTCAGTCTTACCCCAACCCTGATATCAGTCCCATTTTACAACAGTGGCATTATACTGAGTGAAATATCTCAGCCACAAAAGGACAAATATTGCATGGTGCCACTGTTTATTCCTTTCCTTCTTATCTAACCCCCTTTGATTCCTGTAAGTACTTGGGGCTAAAAAAAAATGGCTTAAAGAGGGAGCTTCAGGAGATAGGGGCAGGGAAAGATCTACATTGAAGCTGGGCCCTGTGTTACAGCTCTGAGACAAAAATTATTGTGTAAACACAAAACAAAGCTCAGGCTCTCTCCCTTTCTCTCTGTGTCTCTCTCTCTCTCTCTCTTTCTCTCTCTGTGTGTGTGTGTGTTTCCCCCTCCCTCTGTACTTTGAATGAACTGAAAGGGGGTGCTATTTAAGGGAAGATTGTCAAGGGCCCAGTAGTTGAGACACATCTATAATTTCATCTTAAGCATCTTTTTGTTAATCACAGTGGGTCTATGAGATTTGATCAACCTTATTCATTTAGTAACTTTGCTTTATTATGCTGCATGTTTCTCTATGATTGCTGATCACAAATGGAAAGATTACAAAATCACAAGTAAACTTCACATCCAACTCCCAGGAGACTCTGTAACTTTGAACAAATTAAGACCTCAATGATTGGGGGCCTCATTTACTTAAAAAAAGTTGAGACTGAACTTTTAATTTCTTTATAATAAAGAATTTTCTGGATAAATTGAGAGGCTAAGACAAACCAAGTTTACTGAAATTGAATTGATTTCACATCATGGCAACCCTACTTCTTGGGGGCAGAGTGGAGGTGAGATGTCTGAGGCTATAAATCTTTATGAGAAGAGACTACAGGGCAGGTAATGGATTCAAACTTCTGATCTTTCACTTGGCAGCCCAGCACACTACTCACCACACTGCCACAGCTTTTATAAGCAAAACGAAAGGGCATATAATTAAATTACTTGCATGTTTAAACAAATGTTTTCTAATATAACAAATCATTCTATGCTTGCTTTTTATTTCTTTGTAACATTTCATTGTGCTTTAGACGGAGTTTACAGAGCAAATCAGTTTTCCCAGTCACTTCATACACAAATTGTGTCTCAACGTTGGTTCCAGCCCTGCTGTGTGACAGCACTGTCTTCTGTTTCTCTGAGTTCCTTGTTGCGATTCATGAAGTTCCCCCGACCCCTCCCTATTCTCTCTTCTTTGATTTTGAGCAAATGTTGTGCTGTTGGTCTCATCTAGTTAATTGTTCAGAGGGACACAATCTTCACATTGTTTTATAGTCCCGTCTATTATTTGGCTGGAAATTGGTCTCCTGGGGTACCTTCACTTTTCTGTTAGAAGGTTTTGGAAGGGTAATAATTTTGAGGTTCCTGTAGTCTCTTTTCAAACATTTTGTTTGTTTTTTTTTTTTTAGGGAGTAGGGTTTTGGAATTTTTTTCTCCCTACTTTCTAAATTTTGACCCCTTCTTTACACAGCCTCCTATTCTGATCTCGGTCATGATGGTCAGTCATAGTGGCCAGGCACCATCTAGTTCTCCTAGCCTTAGGCGGAGGCAGCTGTGGTTCATGTGACCTGTTAGACCTTTGGCCTAGTTGCTTCCTTGAGTTTTCATTTTACTTTGTTCTCCTTGCACCAGGTGTGAAAACACCCATACAGTTAGTCAGCTGCTTCTTAGATGGTGACTCACCAGTCACTCCAGATCTTACTCACCAGACTAGGATGTTTGTTAATTGACCTAGATGTTCCCTGAAGCCTTCAACTCCAGTGGCTTAGTCTTGTTGCCTAAGTCATTTCTACAATTGTATCTCCTATATCACTGGCTCACTAATTGCCATCAAGTCTAAATTGACTCGTAGCTGACATGGGGCTTCTGAGGCTGTAAATCGTTCTGGGAGGGGTTGCCTGTCTTTCTCTGGCAGAGTCACTGGCTCAGCCTTTGGGTTAGTAGTACAACTCCCTATGGACTATGCCCTCAGACGCCTCTCAGTTGTTGTTAGGTGCTGTCAACGTATAGTGACCTAATGAACAACAGATCTGAACCCTCTCCTATCTTGTGCCAACCTCACCATCTCTGACATACTCGAGCCCATTGCTGCAGCCACTGTGCCAGTCCATCTGGTTGAGAGTCTTTGCCTCTTTCACCATCCCTCACCTTTCTGAGCATGGTGTCCTTCTCCATGGAATTGCCTCTCCTAACACCATTCCCAAAGTATGCGAGGCAGAGCTTTGCCATCCTTGCTTTCAGGGAGCATTCTGGCTGCATCTCTCCAAGACATACCTGTATGTTCTTTTAGCAGTCCACACCAGTTTTTCTTCTGTCATATTTATTCATTGTCCAGCTCTCAGTAGCATTGCAAGTGTTTTAAAATACCATGGTCAGAATTGGGTTCACCTTCATCCTCAAACGAATATCATTGCTTCTCAGTAATTTAGGGAGGTCCCTGACTGCAGACTTTCCCAGTGTAATATGCCTCCTGATCTCCTGACTGCTGATGCTAAGTGTATTGATTGTGGATCCAAATAAGATGAAGTCCTTGACAGTGTCAATCTTTTCTCTAGCTATCTGATGTCACCTATCAGTCCAGTGAGGACTTTGTTTTCTTGACATTGAGATGCAATCCATTGTGAAGGCTGCAGTGTTTGAACTTCTGTAACAAGTGTTCCAACTCCTCCTCACTTTTAGCAAGCAAGATTGTGTCCTCTTCATACCAAAGGTTATGGATATGAGTCTTCCTCCAATCTTGATGCCACATTCTTCATCATAGAGTCCAGCTTCTCAAATAATTTTCTCAGCATACAAATTGAATAGGTGTGGAGAAAGGCCAGAACCAGACACACACCTTTCTTGATTTTAAACCTTACAGTGTTCCTTTGCTCTGTTTGCACAACAGCTTCTTGCTCTAGGTTTGGCATGAGCACAATTAAGTGTTCTGTCCCATTCTTGAAATTCTGTTATATTTGTGAGTATGTTGTTATCATGTGCTATCAAGTCAGAATCAATTCAGAGTTGACTCAGGAGGGTTTTCAGAACCTATAAATCAAATGGGGAGAGATTGCCCATCTTTCTCCCACAAAGCAGAGATGGATTTGAACCTCAAGCCTTTGGATTGGCAACTTCTTACCACTAAGACACCAGAGCTCCCTATATGAGTGTATATACAGTATTTGCAAATATATGAGTAACAATATCCACCTCCATATTTATATCCACAAATACATTTCTATGTGATCTCCTGAGTTGCTTACCTGTTTGCCTGTGGTGTATCTCCTCACAAGTTATTGTTAGTTATAACTGCTATTGCAGGATTGTATGTGTAATAGTATTTGCTATAGTTGCAGTTTATTCTGCCTGCCTCACAATGTCTTCTTTTGCCTTGGTCACATTGTACTGACTTCCTCCTTATTTTGTATTGCCCTTCCCTTTACCAGTCAGAACTCTTCTTCTATCTAATTAATGCTTAATGCTTCTA